CTGGAAGAGTGAGTCTCACCTCTTCTGCAGACTGCAGCAGCGCCAAATTTTCTGCTGCTACGCGGCCCCAGCAGCGGCAGCAGGGGCAGCGGACAGCAGCAGCAAGAAGGCCCGAGGAGAGCAGCGAGCGCAGCCTTTGCTGCTCTGCTGCTGCTGCTTCCGCTGCTGCTGCTGCTGCTGCTACTCTTTGGCTGAGCGCCACAGATGCTGCTGCGCCAAAGGCGCCCCACGGTGATGTTATGCCCGCAAGTGTAGCACCAGCAGCTGCTGCTGACAGCAAGCCTTCACTTTGCTGCTGCTGCTGCTGCTGCTGCTCCTGCTGCTGCTGCTGCTGCTGCAGCTCATGCAGGCGCCGCCTGGCAGCAGCAACCTCCAGCAGCAGCGGCAGCAAAGGGCTAGCTGCTGCTGCATCGGAGTCAATGAGTCTACAGACGCAGCTGCAGCACAGGGTGTGGCCTGCAGACACAAGCAAACCCTAAACCCTAAACCCTAAACCCTAAAGCCTCAAGCCCAAATCCTAAACCCTTAAGTCCCAGCCACAAACCCTAAACCCTAAGCCCTAAACCCTAAACCCTCACCGCAAGACAGGACTTTAGGACGCAGCTCGTCGTCTAGAGAAAAACACTCGAAGCATATGGGGCACTCATGCCTCTTGCTGCTGCTGCTGCCGCTGCTGCTGCTGCGGCCAGACGCTTCTGCTGCCACTGCCGCTGCAGCAGCAGCGGTTTGTCTGGCCCGCATTGCTTGTGCTGCTGCTGCTGCTGCTGCTGCCGGCGTTGGTTCTGCTGCAGCTGCAGCTCCAATCTGCAGCTGTGCAGAAGCCTCCTGCGTAGCAGCAGCGGAAGCAGGAGCAGCAGCACTCTTCGCAGCAGCAGCAGCAGCAGAAACAGCAGCAGCTGCTGCTGCTGCTGCTCCCAGCTCCGCAGCTTATGGCCAATGCTGCAGCATAAACACCTCAACTAGGGTACAGCTGGGGCCCCCAGGGGCCCCAGGGGCCCCCTGCTGCTAGTTTGAGGGTTTGGCTGGGGGCCCCCCGTGCTGCTGCTGCTGCTGCTGGTGCTGCTGCAGCGCGAGGGTTTGAAGGCTCAGGCCAGCGGGTGAGAAGCAGCAAAAAGAAACATTAAATCAAATTTAAATAATTAAATTAATTTAAATTGAATTAATTTAATTGAATTAAATTTAAAAATTCCATCAAGTTGGAGGAGGCGAACTCCGGCTCGGCGAGGCAGCCGCGAGGCGACTCGCCGGAGGGCTCGAGTGAAGAAACCACAAGACCTAAACCCTAAACCCTAAACCCTAAACCCTAAACCCTAAGCCCTTGCTGGTGCTACCAAACAGCCAACAAATACGGAGAGCCGCAAACCCTCAAAGCCTTTAAAACCCCCCGGCTGAACCAGTTGCTCTCACCCGCCGCTGCCGCTGGCCAGCGGCTCTTAACCCTAAACCCTAAACCCTAAACCCTAAACCCTCAGCCCCGAATGACCAGCTGAATGGCAGTCTTTACTTCATAGTGGCTGTAAAGGGGAACTAGGGTTTAGGGTTTAGGGTTTTCTCGACTCGCGGCTTTCCTCGAGCTGTGTCGGCAGCGGTGTCGCCTTCTATGTGACCTTTTATGACCCCAAACCCTAAACCCTAAACCCTAAACCCTAAACCCTAGTTCCCCACAGAGGCTTTGGACTCAGGGGTTTGCTTTCTACAGTGCAGCTGTCTCGGTTTGCCAGTTGCCTTGCAGCGAGCCTCAGCGGATATTAATTGCAAAATAGACTTTTAATCAACTAATTAATTAATAAATTAGTTAATTAATTAATTAAAAATCAGATAAATAATTAAAACAAATTGAAAAAGTAATGGCAGTTGCATGCGCCAGGCGTTGAGGAAAAATGGGGCAACTGAAAAGGTATAGAGCTGCGGTGTACGTACACCCGAGGAGCCAAAGCTCCCCACACCGCAAACCCTAAACCCTAAACCCTAAACCCTAAACCCCGAGCCTCCAAAGCCCCGCGCCAACTGCCTAGCAAGCTCCAAACCCTAAACCCTCGGCAGCAAACCCTAAACCCCTAACCTAAACTCCAGCGCCCCCACAGGGCAACTGCAGCAGCATCTGCTGCAAAAAGGGGTTTAGGGTTTAGGGTTTTGGGTTTAAGGCTGAGGGTTTAGCCCCTAACTCCAGGGAGCCTCCTCGCTGCACACAGCGACGAGCTAACTCTCCACATCGAGTAGTCTACTGTCCCATGCATTCATGCATGCATGCACGCATGCATGCGGGGACAAGCGCATGCATGCACGCATGCATGCATGCATGCAGGGAAAGGCGCATGCATGCATGCGTGCATGCAGAGAGAAGCGCATGCACGCAAGCATGCATATCCGGACGCGGGCATGCGCGCAGTTGCGCGCATGCATGCGTCTGCCTGCATGCGTGCGTCAGCATGCATGCATGCATGCATGCACGTGCATGCATGCACGCATCTGCATGCATGCATGCAGAAAGCGAAGTCCAGATAAGCGCCTCGGGCCAATTTTGGGGCTTTGGGCCGGCAGCGCCTCTGCAGCGCCAGAGGGCCCCACCGAGATAAAGTTCCTACGCGGATCAGCAGCAAACAGTAAAGGAAGATGCATGCATGCATGCATGCATGCATGCATGCACGCAGAAACGCATGCATGTATGCAGGAATGTATGCATGCAGGGATGCATGCATGCAGAAACGCACGCATGCATGCAGGGGTGCATGCATGCGGAAACACATGCACGCATGCAGACATGGATGCATGCATGCAGAAACACATGCACGCATGCAGCCACGGATGCATGCATGCAGAAATACACGCATGCATGCAGACACGGACACATGCATGCAGACACGCATGCATCCAGGCACAAAAACATGCATGCAGAAACACATGCATGCAACCAGAACAGCTTGAATGCAGAGCGCATGCATGCAAGTAGGGATCCTTGCATGCAAAAACGCATGCATGCAGAACCTCAAGCATGCAGAAGCGCATGAACTCAGGTAGGGATGCATGCATGCAGAAACGCATGCATGGAGGTAGAGATGCATTCATGCAGAAGTGCATGCATGCATGCAGAACGCATGCATGCACAAACACATGCATACATGCAGAAACGCATGCACGCACAGGCATATGCATGCGTAAGTGCAGGCATGCAAGTAGATATGCATGCATGCAGAAGCGCATGCACACAGGTTGGGATGCATGCATGCAGAAGCAAATGCACAGTGATGCATGCATGCAGAAACGCATGCATGCAGAAACGCATGCATGCATGAATGAGTGCATGCATGCATGCAGAAACGCAAGCATGCAGAAAGGCATGCATGCAGAAACATATGTATGCAGAAGCGCACGCATGCAAAATCGCATGCATGCAGAAACGCACGCATGCACGCATGCAGGAGCGCATGCATGCAGGCAGGGATGCGTGCATGCAGAAACACATGCACGCAGGAATGCGTGGATGCATGCAGAAGCGCATGCACGCATGCAGGGATGCATGCATGCGGAAACGCATGCATGCATGCAGGGATGCAGGCATGCAGGGGCGCATGCATGCATGCAGGGATGCAGGCATGCGGAAGCGCATGCATGCACGCATGCAGGGATGCATGCATGCAGGGATGCATGCATGCAGGGATGCATGCATGGATGCAGGGACGCATGCATGCAGGAACGCATGCATGCATGCAGGCTCAGAGCCAGATTGAAGGTGATTCGCGTGTCTAGGCAAAGCCCGAGGTGTACATACACCTCAACATTAAAAAGATTGAAAACAAAACGAAACAAAAAAGAAAAACAATTTAACAGAAGACCCCCGAGGCCGCCTGAGGCACTCCGCGTGCCCTGCTGCTGCTGCAGCAGCAGCAGCGGCAGCTGCACTAGCCGCCGCAGCAGTTCCACTAACTGCTGCAGCAGCTGCACCAGCTGCTGCAGCAGTAAGAGTCTCCACCTGCTGCTGCCGCCGCTCCTGCCGCTGCTTCTCCCGTCGCAGCCGCAGCAGCAGCAGCCGCAGCAGCAGCAGCAGCTGCTGCAGCAGCTAGGTCTGCTGCTGGCGAGCCCTCGGCGCCGTCCGCGTCAACGACCAGGCGCAAGTCGCTGCTGCTGCTGCGCTGCAGCAGCGACTTGCGCCTGCTGCCGCGCAGCAGCGGGGGCGCTAGGGCGCGTGCGGAAGCCGCTGCTGCTGCTGCTGCTGCTGCTGCTGCTGCTGCAGCCGGAAGCTGCTTCTTTTTGCTGCTCTGTCGGCGAGGAAGACGAGGGCGAAGGCGGAGAGGGAGAGGAAGAGCAGCAGCGCGAGGACGAGGGTGAAGTTCTCGCTGCGGTGTACAGACACCTCGAAGAGCGGGGTGGCGAGCAGCGAAAAGAATCCGCCAAAAGTCATGCAAAGTCCCAAAAGTTTTCCCAAATGTTCTGGCGGAAAAGCCCTTTGCATGAAAAGATAGATTTGTCCCGACATGAGGGGCGCGTAGGCGGCGTAGAGCCAGGCCAGGAGGTGCGCGACGGCCCTGCTGCTGCTGCTGCTGCAGCTGCTGCTGCTGCTGCTGCTGCTGCAGGGGCGCGTGAGGTGCTGCAGCAGCGCGAAACCCACCAGCAAACAGCCCAGAGAATTCACCAGCAGCAAACAGCAACCCGCGCCCAACTTGTCCGCCAAGTAGCCCAGAGCTGGCGGGTAAATGAAGACAAAAGCCAGCAGCAAGTGCAGCGCCTCTTTTGCTTCAGCAGCAAAGTGTTCGCTGCTCTCCCCGAAGAAGACCCCCCGCAGCAGCGTCAGCGTGAAGTACGGCAGCAGCGGCAGGAAAGCAGCAGAGCACACGTAGCAGCAAACGAACTCCCGCGTCTCCGCCTTCAGCAGCGCCCACCGCGCCCGCAGCCGCCCCCACCGCCCTGCTGCTGCTGCTGCTGCTGCTGCTGCTGAGGAGCAGCGCGAGGCCGCGCGGGAACGGGAGACGCGCGCCTCCTGCTGCTGCTGCTGCTGCTGCTGC